TATTTAAAATAGAAAAATAATAAAATAAGAATATAAAAATGATGATAAAATGATAAATAATAAAGAAAAAGAAAAGAAAATATATGAATATACAAAAGAAAATAAATATTCTAAACACAAAGATGAAATGAAAAATATGATAAAAATAATAAAAATCTATAAAATTAATAAAAAAATGATGAAATAATTACAAGAATTAGCTGTAAATAATATAAATAAAGAAAATATATATTAGAAAATATATAAGATTATAAATGAATAAAGATAAAATAAAAATCAAAGAAGAAGAAGTTAAAGAAATAATTAAGAAAATAATAAAATAAAAAGCAATTAATTAAGTATTAATAAAACTTGTGACTATTATTCCTGAATTATGTGAGACTAATCCTGTCAATGAATCTTCATCATGTAATTCTACAAAATATATTTGGTTGTTGTAGAAATATTGTTCCATGACATCAATCTTGTTTTTAATTACAATGTTTTTAACTTCTTTTATATTATCAATTTCATTTTTTATTTCTTTAATTAATTTAATAATTTCAAAATTTACTAATTAATTTATTGAAATTACTACTGCAATTATTTTAATATCTTTTATTTTTTTCTATTTTCATTATCATATTCTTCATTTCTTTATATCATTTCTTTTATTCAAATATACTCAATTAATATTATGATATACAACAATAGAAAGGATCTTGAAGTATAAGAAAATAATAAATGAAATAGAGAAATTATAATAAAGAAATAAATAAAAAGAAGAAATGATAGAAAACACAATATCAGAAAATAAAGAAGAATAAAAATCACTTACAAAAATTACAATAAATTTGTAGAAAGTGAAAAAAAAATAAAAGAAAATACATTGAAAGAAGGTCTAGATAATAAAATATATGATATCATACAATGATACAAGAAAATCTATTTATCACAAATTATAAACTTTCAACTGTGTATAAAAATATAATAAAATGAAATGTATATTATAATCAATTTATAACAAGAATGTATTTACTTAGTGAATATGATAAATTTAGAAAAAAATTAAAAGAAGTAAATAACATAAATCTAAGAGCAATATATAAAAATATCATAGAAACTAAAATAGATAATAAATAAGAATGTAATAATAAATAGAATATTAGAAAGAATTAAATAAATCAATAAAAATATAAGAAAACAACAATGAAAATAATATAAAACATATAAGTGAATTGTTAAAATAAAGAAATAATATTAATAACATAAATATAAATTTATCTTGAAAGTCTTGTAGAAATGAGAATAAGAAAAAAGGAAAAGATATACAAAGGGGTATTTATAGAAATGAATAAAATAAACAAACCACATATATCAAGATATTCTGTCGTAGTTATTATCTCCATTAGTACCCATTCAAAGAGAACAAGTAGGATTGAGTTAAAAAAAAATAAACATTGGAATAGAAGAAATAAACTTATGAAATAAATAATAGAAAAAGAATCAGATATTTAATGAAGAAAAATAACAATATAAACTCCTCTTATTGATATTTAATTCAAATTCTGATAAATTGATTATATGTATAAGTTAAACTAATTGACAATAGTTTATTTATTTAAAAAAATCGTCTGTTATAAAAATTTGATATTCTATTAAACTTATTTTAGAGAAAGAATTTACGATAGAAGTTAAATTTATTAAATAAAACAGAACAGTTAATTTCCAAGTCTTATAACATCTAAATCTATGGACCTAATTATTAACTCTTTTTATAAAATTTTTTGGGGTTATTAGATACTATTTTTGCAGATAAGAGTTCTATTTTTGATTCTAGAATAACACTTTTAAGTTATCATTAGTTGTCATTGTTTTTTTTTCTGTTTATCTTTATATAACCAACAAAGAATAAAGTTAAAATAAGTAAGTTAAACTTCTTTCACATGAACAAACTCTTGCTTATTTTTCCAGTAATACCAGAATACTGCAAGGACAGTGAGAAGAAGAACACCAGTGATTAGGATTAGAACCAACCAATTTTGTTTTATCCAATTATGTTTATTGTACTTTTTTTCAGTGTATTTTCTTTGGATATAGAACTTTGTTAAAGCAAATGAAGTAGAAGATAAATGAGGATTAATGACAATTTCAGCATATAATAAATCACCATTCCATGATCTTGTTGTTGTTAAGAAAGTAGAATTAATTATAAATTTAATTGGTTGTTGTGCTAGGTATTGTTCTTTTGTAATATTTGAAGCAAAGTATTCAGACCGATCATAAAAATGATAAAAATTTATAACGCTTACTTGTAACTGACGTTCAGGATCAGATGAAAAAATAAGAGAAGATGTGTTAATCCAATATTGGTATTGATTATCATACTTTACTTGATTAGTACAGTTAATATAAACAGAAATTTCTATATCATTAACACCGTCAAAAGGATATATTTGAATAGCATATTCTTCGTTAGGATCTTCTTGGTCAAGGTATTTACTTTGTGAAAATGATTGGACGTTTGACTGTAGTCTAATCAAATTACATTCTACATCAGTTTGTTCTTCACACCATTTTCCTTTTTTATCTGGTGGACATAAGCAATGTGATACTAATCTTGATTCATTACAATTTATATTACAAGGTTGTGTATTATTGAATGTGATATCACAATGATATTCTTCAGGACAGTCAACAGTAATTTGATTGCATTGACTTTTATCATTACAAAGAACAGGTACAGTAAAACAATTTTTAAATTGTGAATAATTAGTAGTATAATAAAAATGATTAGAAATAACTTTATCATCACAAACAAGCTATGCAAAGATTAATTTTTTTATTTAAGTTTATAAAATAACTTTAATTATAAACAAACATTCATTGTTGAACAATTGTATGCATAATGAGTTGAATCGATAAGTGTTGTATTATCACAAATTAAAGAAATATCAATTTCTGACATATAATGATTTTCATTATTATTAAATTTAAAGATAACACATTTATTAAATTTGAATTGATCAATTTTAAAAAGATTTTCATCAATAAAGAATTCATTGACAGTACATTCTATTGTTTCACATGGAGAATTTATAGCAACAATTTCTGATGCATTGAAATATTCTTGACCGATAAAATATTCATTAATTCTAATTTTATAATTTCCATCACAAACACTAATATTTAAATTATAATATTCCTTTTCACCACTTCCACAATCTATAAAATGATTATTTATTAATTATGTTAGTTTGGTTAACAAACTATGATCAATATTTACTGTTCTTTCATTCATTCCTGAATCTGGTGTTGTAATACTTTCTTTTTCTTTTTCAGAGATTGCTTTAAAATAATCTTTATTTTTTCTGTGTGGATGGTTGTAAGCAAAGACTAAGTCTTCTTTGAGTTTATGAATTCCATCCATTCCTTGTTTCATTTCATCAATAATTTTTTCTTTAATTTCATTAACATACATTTGAGTCTCTTGGCATTGACAAGACAAAACAATGAAACTTATCCAAATGATAAAAGTCTTCATAACAAACAAAACAATTGATTTATTGGTTTCTCAGATGAGAATTTTGAAAATTTGAAAACATTAAATAGAAAAAAAGGAATTTAATAGATTCATATGTCAAAAAACTCTCCATCTGAACCAAATCAATGGGATGAAAAACGTATTGAATCAAGACAACAATATCTTCCTAAAAGAGAATTCCAAAAATTAAGAGAAATAAGGGATGAAATTGAAGATGAAAAAGAAATGTTTAATGAAAACGAATTAACAGAATCAGAAAAGAAAGAATTACAACGAAAAATAGATATTTATAATTTAGCTAAACAACGTATTGCCTTAGAACAAATTAATGAACCTCAATATAGTATTCCTAAAACAGGTAGTGTTATAGAAGAGAAACCAATTTATGATAATTACAAAGACGAAGATAATGAACAATGGATGAATACCCAAAAAAAGGCTATTTTTATTGGTAAAAGTATAGATGAACGAAGTAAAATAGATGATGGTTCTTTTGAAAAAATGATACTTCAAGAAGATGAAGACTCTCTTGAAAGAGAAATATTGGAATTAAGAACAAAAGAATTAGAAGAAATCCCTTCAAAAAGAACAAAACAAGATGAAATGAATGAAATTAGAAAATCTTTACCTGTATATCAAAAACGTGAAGAATTTTTAAAATTAGTTAGAAACAATCAAATTGTTATTATTGCGGGAGAAACAGGTAGTGGTAAAACAACACAACTACCTCAGTATTTATATGAAGATGGATATTGTAAAAAAGGAAAAATAGGAGTTACACAACCAAGAAGAGTTGCTTGTATGAGCATTGCAAGAAGAGTTTCAGAAGAGATTGGAACTCGGTTAGGAGGAATGGTTGGGTATACTGTTAGATTTGAAGATGTTACATCTGATAGAACATTAATTCAGTATATGACAGATGGAATGTTATTAAGAGGGTTTTTAAATCAACCAGATTTATCTGAATATAGTTGTATAATGATAGATGAAGCACATGAAAGAACAATATCAACAGATTTATTATTTGGACTACTAAAAGATATAATCCGATTTAGGTCAGATTTAAAATTAATTATTGCGTCAGCTACTTTAGAAACTCAAAAATTTTCTGAGTATTTTGATAATGCACCAGTATTCATTATTCCAGGAAGAAGATTTCCTGTCACAATTGAATATTTGACAGAACCTGAACCTGATCCATTAATTGCTGCAGTAAATAGAACTATTCAAATTCATACAACAATGCCAAAAGGTGATATTTTAATATTTCTTACAGGACAAGAAGAAGTAGATGAATGTGCTGAAGCAATTAAAGAAAGAACAAGAGGATATGGTACAAAAATGGATGAATTGATCATCACAAGAATTTATGCTGCATTACCAAGTGATATTCAAGCCCAAATATTTATTCCAACACCTCCAAATGCAAGGAAAGTTGTTGTTGCAACAAATATTGCAGAAACATCACTTACAGTTGATGGAATTGTTTATGTTATTGATTCGGGGTATTGTAAAATTAATGAATATAATTCTAGAACTGGAATGGAAAGTTTAAAAATTGTCCCAATCAGTAAAGCATCAGCAGACCAAAGAGCTGGAAGAGCTGGTCGTGTGTCCCCTGGGAAGTGTTATAGACTTTATACTAAAGATGCCTTTACTAAAGAGTTACCCGAATCTACTCCACCAGAAATTATTAGGTCTAATCTTTCATCGGTAATTTTATTATTAAAAACACTTGGAATTGATGATATTCTTCACTTTGATTTTATGGACTCTCCAAGTCCTGAATCGTTAATGAGAGCTCTGGAAGAGTTGTATGCACTAGGAGCTTTCAATCAAAAAGGAGAATTAACTCAAAGGGGACAAAAAATGGCAGAATTTCCTATAGCACCAACATTAGCAAGAGTACTTATTGGGTCTGAACAATATCAATGTTCTGAAGAAATTGCAACAATTTGTGCAATGTTACAAATATCAGGAGAATTATTTTATAGACCAAAAGAAAAAGCTCAAATAGCAGATACAATTAAAAAAGGTTTTGTTAGATCTGAAGGAGATCATCTTACTCTTTTAGGTGTTTATAATTCATGGGTTGATGCTGGTAAATCAGATGGATGGTGTAGAGATAATTTTCTTCAAGCACGTGCATTAAATAAAGCAAACGATATTAGAGACCAATTAGTTAATATAATGGAACGGGTTGATATTCAAATGTTAAAATCAAAAGATAATATATCAATACTTAAAGCATTATTAAGTGGGTATTTCCTTAATACAGCTCAATTAACTAAAGAAGGAATTTATCGTCAAACAAAACAAAATAGGACAATAGAAATTCACCCAAGTTCAAGTATGTTTAATAAAAATCCTCGTTGGATTTTATTTTATGAATTAGTTTTAACAACAAAAGAATACGTTCGTCAAGTTTCTGAAATTGATCCATCATGGCTCATAGAAGTTGCTCCTCATGTATTTAAAGAAGAAGATATGAAAGATGCAATTCGTAAATATCGTAGTAAAAAGAATAAATAATAATTCCTTTACTTTTTTTAACAATTAAAATTAATAAACCAGAAAACCTTATGACTTAACAAATACATGAATTGATATTACTTAGTCATTGTGTCATCCCAATCAATAAAATAATCTTTTGGGTGATAATTTCTCATTACTATTTCTGTATATTCTTGACCAAAATAATTTTTCATTCGATGAGATAATGGATAAACTTGTTCTAAAGCTACCCAAATAATTTGTTCCTTAGTTGGTCTGTGATAGAGCTTTCCCTGTGCAATAGCCCATGCTACTCCTGTTAGTCTATGTACTTCAATGTCTTTTTTTATACTTGCATTGATTGAACGAAAAAGCCCTTCAAATGCTGGATTCAAAAAGTGAAAATGAGATCGCATATAATAAAGATATGCATTGTACCAATGTTCAGGTGTATTTAGTGGTCCATCTCTTCCTTTCTGAGAAATAAAATCCATTAACATCTCTTCAATTTCATGACCAATACCTAAACCAG